CAACTGCTGTGTATATAGTGGACAAATAAAATCTTACCCGAAACATCTAGTCTATCTAGATGTTTAGAAGTGCCCAACGTATGTTAAATGTAGAGGTAGTAAATATCACTTTGTAAATATCTTTTTGCTAAAGTTCACAGGAAATACTGTCTTTTGAAAAAAAAAAAAATTCATTTGGCTTTTATTAGGCAAAAATTGACATGCTGATCCTAATATGTATGTAGAAATGCAAGATACTTAGAATAGCCAAATAAAATTTTGAAAAAGAAGAAAAATTTTAGAGGACTCACACTCCCTCATTTCTTATAACAAAGTGACAGTAATCAAGACTATATGAAACCGGCATATGGATAGCTATGTAGGTCAAGTAAACAGGATTGATAATCCCAAAATAAATCCTCCTATTTATGGCCAATTGATTTTCAACATAAATCCCCCAAAATTCAATGTCAAAAGAATAGTCTTTTTTAACAAATTGTGATGGAATAAATGGCTATTCACATGCAAAAGAATGACGCTGGAGCCCTAGGCCATAAAAATTAACTCAAAATGGATCAAAGACATAAATGTAAAAGTGAAAGCTATCAAACTCATAGAAGCAAACATAGGAGTAAACCTTACCTTGATGATTATACTTTAGGTAGTAATTTTCTAAATATTACACTAAAAGAACATTAATAAAAGAAAATTTTAATAAATTGGATTTAATAAATTTAAATATGACCAATCTGGCACAGAATCTTCTCTTCCTTCTCAAGGTCTTCTGCTCCACGTCCTCTAACCCATTAAACAAACGTGGACAAATGTCACTTCCATAGGTAGTCTAACAATTCCATTTCAAAAAGTCATTTCCAAGCCGGGCGCGGTGGCTCACGCCTGTAATCCTAGCACTTTGGGAGGCTGAGGCGGGCGGATCGCTCAAGGTCAGGAGTTCGAAACCAGCCTGAGCGAGACCCCGTCTCTACCAAAAATAGAAAGAAATTAATTGACCAACTAAAATATATATATATACAAAACATTAGCCGGGCATGGTGGTGCATGCCTGTA